AGCCAGTCCTTCTCTTCCTTCACTGTTTCAAGCAGAGGCCTGACTCGCAGGACCTTCTTATCATGCTTATTTTCTGTTATTTTTCATTCCATTTCAGTGACTTAAGTCTAAAAGTTCTTGCTCTTCTTCCTGTATGATAATTTGGTTCTCTATCACAGTAGGAGTACTTTAAATGCTTGTGTCGACAGCAAAGCAAAAACTAGCATTTTTTTTTTACCAAGGTAGAAAATAGAAATTCTAAACAAAGTAGACTCTTGAGGAACACCACCACTAGTAATGTTTTCTCCATCCCAATAATTTGCCATGAGATGTGATACTCATGTGTTACCATTAACCAAGAAATTTTATCAAAGAAAGATAAGCCAGTATAACATGATTTACATTTGGAAAGATCTGGGTTGCATTTTCATTCTGCTTTCTATTTATGTTCGTCATCGGTTACTCTTGGTTGCTCTTTCCCCTTAGAACAGTTGTTATAAGATACTGAAGAGCGCTGAGTTCACATTAACAGGGTTTTTTTGAACACACATTCTACGTTTCTTCTCCAACTCTAGGCTGCTATCCCAGAACATGTCTTGTTCATTGAGAATCCTCATGCCTGAGCTTGCAATTTTGAAATATAACCCATTTTTTTGGTATTCTGGGATGGAAATTTTTTAAGCAGCCTCATTTCATTTTAGTAATGGATGTGGTAATGTTCAGTGCGTTGTCCTTGTTCCCATGAGGTATTATGTCTCTGTCCTCATACACAGCATTATTCTTATAGGAAAAAATGATGCAAAAGCTAATTTAGTATTTGGTCTGTCTTCCTAATTTCTACCCCTTGTTGACACCAGTTCTTCAGTTCTTGCTCTTTATTTCTTGTTGAGAAACCTTTTGTTTGCCTGTGAGTTCCCATTTTCCTGGCCTACTGGCAGTTTTCATTTAACTTCTGTGGCCTGACCTCTAAGTGCCAGCTCTCTTTGCTGATCAGTCCCTTTTTCCATTCCTTGTAGGTTCTCTGCTTTCTCTTAATATCCTGCTTTGAGGTGCATTCTCATGCAGGTAGGTCTGTAGCCCTTTCCTGTCCCCTTTTTTCCTTTACTTGGATGGAAAGACTCAGTGTTTGATTTAAAGTAAATCCATGCCTTCCATACACTCAAATCCAATTGTGTATGTGTTTCATATATCTTTGGATGAAATTTGGGCTTATGGCTGAACAGGCAAAGGTGGGATTGTTCTTGAAATGTAAAGAAAGCTGTTAGTTATTTTTGAGTTATGCAGGTGGTGAGGCCTGTACCCCCAGAAGGTTAAGTAAGTTTGAATTGCCTTTGGCAATTATTATATGTTGTATAGGCTGCTCACTTCCAGATGGTTTTGGTTTTTTTTCCTTCATGTAAAACCATGGGAATTAATTTTAAAAACTGGCATTTAAACCACCTGAATCAGATTTTTTCTTTTTTCCTGATGCTAGGTATGTTTATACAAATACAATCAGTTTTGTTAGAACGTCAATAATTTTGGAAATTTCCTGAAATTCTTTCAAGGTTTCACTTTCTTTTTTAAAAAGAAAAAAGAGTATGCTGATGTTTCTTGTCTCTTTGTGTTGAGAGACAAACCTATTTGGCAGCTTTTCTTTTGAAAACCCAAATGCATATGATGACGGTTCACTTGTCCCTTTCTCCGAGTGGTTGGGAAAGCTATTACATGAATGCAAAGGCTGCTTTTTGGAGCCACACTAATCACTTCTGAATCTTCATATTATCAAGGATGAAAAAGATGACTTAATTACTCAATCACTGGCAGTTTTAGAATACAGTCTGAAGTATTTATGTGTACGTCTGTGTCACTGAAACTACCTTCAGAAGGCTGTAGGCAGGACTCTGGGTATAAGCCTGCATTTAAGTTTCTGTGAAGTAAGGTAGTGTGTGGATTTACAGTCTGTCAGCCACTCCGTGTGTACTATGCCATGAACACATTTGTACCACATGGCCAAGCCACAGAATTGCCCAGCTGTGTGCGAAGGCAGTAATCCGTGCAGATGGACACGGCTGAAACACTTGGGTCCAAGAACCGGCACAGGAACTTCACGTTTGGACTCAAGTCTTTCTGAGTTAGACGTTTAGCAAAGCTACTGAGGATTTTTTCTGGCTTCTGATATCAAAATGGGGCTCAGTGCTCTGCCATGTTGATTTTGATAGTGTTAATCCTGGAGCTAATACAAATTTTAAATTATACATTTATGAATTTCATTTAAATGTAATTGGAACTCCTCAGTATGGTTTAATGGTGATGTTTAATGCTTGTCTCTTTCCTATCCTTGGGGGCAGGAGGGGAATCTCTGAATAAAAGTCCTTTCTTTGTTGGTTCTTTTTATTTGGGAATAGCTATTTTCTTTTCTGGGTCTGCCTGAAATTTCCAAAGTCCACCTCTCATATATGTCTTAGTGCTTGATGAGGTGATAGCAAGAGAGATATTTGTAAGTCTTTCACTGTGTTTGTTAGCCAAGGCATCCTTTAGTATTTCTGTTGCGAGATTTTGAAAGCATGGATAATAGTATTTAGTAACTAGAAGTTTGAAAAACTTATTAATGGACTGTTTATGTTTTTATTGTTTTCCTTTGCTTTAATGAGATTGAAACCAATTTAGTGTCATTAGTAAATGCCTGAGCATGTTCTTCAAAATGAGCATTCAACACTGTGGTGGTGAGTCTGGGGGGTTTACTTTTTAACTTCATCATGGATCAGTGGGTGTTTCTGTAACATATGGCACTGTATGTTGAAAGTGGATGTTTACATCTGGTATGCATTGGAAGATTAAGGTAGAGAGGATGAAGTTTTGGGCAAGTATGTGTTTTTTGGATGAAAGATAAAGTGAGAATACTTTTATTTCCTCTTAGATTTGAAACATATCATTCTAGCAATGCCTTTGAAACTCTGCCAGCTTTGCCAACTGTAACATTTATGGGATTTTGGACCTAAACTGAATTAGAAAACTGTTTTTAGTGGCAGAGAAAAAGGTTAGTGCATGAAAATAGCTAGGCCTATTATTGACTGCATGTGGTCAGTGGTTTGGCTGAATGTAGGTGGCTCTCTTCCTGTCACTGTTTTCAAGCATATGGCTTTGTTTGTGATGAATATAAAACTCTTTAAAAACGGGTTCTACTGCAGTTCTTTTGCACAGTAGTCTTTTGCTATTTAGTAGTGATTACTTCGCTTTTGCCATTCATTTTCAATCTTGTAGGAAGAAAAAATCAAACAACTTTTTAAATAAGCTTATGATTCCTGTTGACACCAAAACTAAGAGGTTTGAAGAATGTGGTCATCTGCGTATAGCAGCTGCTTCTGTCAATAGTATTTTCTAAAAGGATGCATACACTATGTTGTTGATTCTTTATTGTAGTTAATGCTGGGATTGTTTGCAGTGGGCAGAAGCTCCTTTTAAATGTGCACACACATTTTGTTTAATTAGTACTTTTGTGAAAATCTCTAATACTGAATTACTACTTCCCTTTTTTCTTTTTCATGCTGTCAGTCTTGAAAGTAATATTTATAGTAGGTTTTTCCCAAGGTCAGTTTCTGATTTGCCATTTCTTTTTCCCATTGTATAGAAGACAGCTTGAAATCAACCTAGTGTTTTGTTTTCTTTGGGTGTAGTATACAAGGTGCTACCTCAGAGCTCAGGGAATAGCGAATTTTCTAGCTCCTGCTGCAGAGAGAGCTTAAGGGCACAACAGGTTCTGTTTAGCTTTAACTTAAACGGTGTTACCCTATTTATATCTTTTTTAAAAAATCTGGGTGATAGAGCTGTAAATTGTGCAGATTGTGTACATTGTCTGGTGTTTTCAGTGTAGAAAATTCTAGTGAATCTTGTTTTAGCAGCTATCAGATGCAAGAGCTGGTTTCATTCAGCCGAGAGCAAAGTACGTTTGGTTCTGCCAGATGCTGAGAACTGTAGTAAGAATTAGGGGCACCAAGCACTTCATGAGTTGGTTCCACTGCTGTAAAGTACTTAAAAACAAAGCAAAACTGTTTACAGTTTCCCCATGTTTGGGGAAAATAATTTATAGAATTATCCAATAAACAATGAGAGAACCCTTAGAGCTGCTTAATATATTTGTCAGTCAGTCCTTAAAGTGCATCCTGGTCCCACAGGCCAGACACAAGGAAAATCACTCTGTTGCACAAGTGAGGCTACTTGTGTGATCACGTCTTGCAGACTTTTAAGAACTTCATTTGTTATCGACATAAAAAAATTATACAGTACTACTTAAAACACAAAATGTACTTCTAAAATTCTTAAAATGTTAAAAAAGAAAATATCTAGAAACTGTAATTATTGCAACTATTGGTTAGAACTTACTGTAATATCTTCCTACAATATAACATAACAATGTAACTTTCAGGTTATTAAGAAATTTCTTTTCTAATTTAAACTAGGTCTTTTGAATTGTATTATGAAGACAGAGCTGTTCCTAAGCATGCTTGGTGAAAGACTGTCACTAAGCAAGAAGTGCTATGCATGTACTTGTAAGTCTCATTGCAAGAGAATCTTAAGTAAGGTGGAGATAAGCATTGCATCCTCAAATGTTAAAAAAATTCATTTGAATTTGCATGAGTTTGGGGTCATGCAAAATGCCCTCAATAACAGCAAGCTATGTAATGTGTTTTGGTTTGGGTTTTGGGGGTTTTTTTCTAGTTCTAATTTAGGACCAGGAAACTGCTTGATATTTTTGAGTGTAGTAATTGTCACAATTCAGGAATGCTCTATCTTGAGAGATCTCTCATTTAAACATACTGCCTAACTGATAACTGTTCCTCATCAAAAAAATTTGAAATATGAAGATGATGGAGATTATTAGTATCAGTTCTGAACATGGATTGATAGAACAGTATCTTAAGAGAAAAACAGCACAGCTAACTGATGACCTCTGGTTTTGATTTATGTGAGATTTTTTTGTGGTCTTGTTTGTGAAAATAATTTCTATTAATAATTCTCAATGCCTCCTGTTTGGATTGTAGAGGTTGGAGACCTGAGGGAGCTGCAAACACTGGACATTTCAACCAATCGCTTGATAACGTTACCTGAAAGGCTGCATATGTGCCTTTCGCTGCAGTACTTGACTGCAGACCGAAACCACCTGTGGTATGTTCCCCGCCACCTGTGCCAACTACCAAGCCTCAACGAGCTCTCCATGGCTGGAAACCGCCTTGCGTTTTTGCCACTTGGTGAGTCACCACTGTCATTGGGCTGGGGGGTGGGTCAGAGAAGAGACAGGAAAACAAACTTTCTGTCCCAAAAAGAAAAAAAATATGCAACAAGTAACTCTCTTTGCTGGTCAGTACAAACTCTGTTTATGGAGTTGTCACAGTGATCATATTGTTGGCAAATATGTTAATAAGCAAAAAAAAATGCAGGTTAAGGTTTCATGTCTGTTTTAAAGCAATAGGTCAGCTATCAAATTTGCTTTATTTTTAGCTAACTGAGGGGGAAAAGGTTTAAATGATGTTGTGTTTAAATATAGTACTATGTAATCTGAGTTCCACTACTTTAGGTAATGATCTGTTTCTGTTCTGCTGGATCTGATGATTTAACTAAGATTCTTCAGCTGGGGTTTAAAACTTGCAGTGGAATCCCAGTAACTCCACAGAAATTATCTTTGATCATTAGGAGTGTCAGTACTGCATAATCTAGCAAAGGTTTAGTTTGTGCTGCGTATAAGCATGCATCAAAACTTCCACGGTAGTAGCACAGGAAAGAATTTATCTGCCTTTCTCTCAACCCTTTCAAAGTTTGGAAGTGTCAAAACAGGCCTTCAAGAGTAGGAGGTGCAGTCAGTGTGTGGTGGTTTGTTGTGGGAAGTAGTTGTGTTGTCAGTAAGTGTGGACTGTATATTCTGTTTGTGAAAAGCAAGTCCTCTTCCACATGTTTGTTACTTTTTAGACCTGCCACAGACTAATCTCTGCTGAAATACAGACGCACATGCAGATCTGTCATGTCATTTGAATAGCCATTAATAGTTTTCCTAGAATACAATCAGATTTTGGTGTTAATTAGGTGCAGATTAAGTTTTGATAATCACACTGAAAAGAAGCTGAAAATTGAGGTGGTTAAAAATGAGATGATAATTTCTAAATTAATTACATTGTACAGGTTTAACTTAATTTTTTCAGTACTAGCAATTTACTCTTTAAAGAAATTTATGATCTTTCTGATTTTCTTAGCACCTTAGTTTGTATTGCTGGAAAGTAAGTGCAAATAATGTCTCCAGACATAGTGTTTTAGTTATGTCCCAACATATGTTGTTATATAAATGAGGAGTTCCAGGAAGCATCATCCAGATTTCACAGTACTAACTAAAACAAGCAAAGTAACTTCCCCTATTTTGGCAAATATTTCTAACTCCATTTCATGAGGCAGGAAGTTGAATCTTTTTCATTTTGCAGAAATAAGATGCTGTTTAGTAAGATGAGATGTGAAATATTAAAGGGTAAAAGTTTTTGCTACTTTTGTGCTAGTAGCTTATCTGTGAGTGAGCTATGACCTGGATGAGCCATAGATCTGCTGAAGTGTTTTAAGTTCAAAAGGAGGAAATAAATCTCTACTATAATGACACACCTTCTTTTTTCTTTATTTTTAGACTCAAATTCAAAACATTCAAAAGGAACTTTTAAAATAACGGGAAACATCAAAGACTGTCAATTGACCTTGTTCAGTAGTTCTTAATAGTGACTCACTGGTGAACATTTGGAGATAATTTGCTATCTGTGGATATGAAACTGAATCATAAATCCTAGAGTTCAGAGGAAAAGCAGCACAGTATAAATGTAAATGTTTAATCTTTCCTCTGAAGAATCAGAAGGCTTCAGAGTGGTCAAGATGTGATGAAATAAAGTAGAAGAGAGCATTAGTGTATTGAAAAGCAAAAAGATTAAATCTATCTTCTGTTGTATGGGAAAATATTTTTCTTGGAGTATTACTGAAGTTAAGGTACAATTGTAGCATTATTTCTGCTAGCTGCACATGTTGCCTAATGGGTTTTTTGTGTGTATTCTTACATCCAACTTTACTAGTTAGTGACTGAGTAAGGACGTTAAATAACAGTGAAAGATACTGTAGAAATATCTATAAGTGATATTCAAGCAAGAATTGTCAAACAATTTTTTTCAGTTAGGGAGTTGAGTTGAAAAGCAGACATTTTATTCATCTCCTGACAGAATGGATTTTTTCTCTTCTATTAGACATGTCCATATTAGAATAAATATGTTTGGAACATATTGCTTAATGCTTTTTAAAGTGAGATTTACTTTATTTCATATGGTGGTTGACATCTACTATGCCAAGGAGTCCATTCTTCCTCATCTAAGTATGTCCCTTGTAGCTGCCAGTAGACCCTCTTGTTAAGCGTAATGGAAATACGCTTTTTCCTCTTCCTAGATTGATAGGTGTAAGATTTATTCCAGCAGTACCACAGTACTTTCATGGCACTGCTGGATAGGTACTATGGAGTTTTTTGTCCTGTACATTCTTTTAAATTTGTAGGCACATGCGTCTTAAGAAAAAAATGCATAACACTACTAATAAATTTTACAAAATACAATAAAAATACCTGATGCCACTGTCTGACTTTCAGAACTGGTACATAAACAAGCAGATGGGTAAACAATAATGAATTAGTCATTTGTTCTGCAGAATACACTTAGTTCTTGGATATGGCAGTATTTTTAAAAAAATAGTCTTTCCAGTTTATATTCAAAGAAACAAGACTGCGTGGATCTGAGCCTTTGGGCCTTCCTAATAAATTTATTTAAGAAAAAAAACCTACCCCAAATATTGTGTGTAAGTTGAACTGTAAACTGCATCCTGGACAGCCCTGTTATTGTCAGCGTAGCTTTCATGCTACCCTAATAAATGGTCTTAGGAATTCTGTTCTTGAATGGCAGATGGAACTCCTGATCATTTTATATCAGTCCACTTACAATATAAATTATCCTTTGATAGAAATTTAACTTTAAAATTTTACTGTTAGCAAATGCTCCAATGCCTGAAAACAAATTCCATTGCGAGCAGAAATTTGAATCTGATGACATTGCAAAAATAAAAATTATTTATGTAATAAAGTACAAATATAATTAGGCCATAAATTCTCAAGTGTACTGGCAGTACAGGGGTTGTTATGACAGCAAATATTCAGTGTTATATCACTTTATTGAGGGTTTATGTGCACTTTTTGTTTAGAAAATGGGTCTAGTAATTATCAGTGCACAGTAAACAAAGGTCTTATTCTACCTCAGTATATGCTGCTTTTGTGTCCTTGCCCTCACAGTATGGTTAAAAGAGCATCAGTGCAGACACACAAGAGCTTTTGTTTCATCTTCAGCCATGTGGAATGCATATGCCAGGGCCCTGAGGTTAAAAAAGAAAAGAAGAAAAAAGGAGAAAAAGAAAAAAAGGAAAAAGAAAAAAAATAGAATTGGGGTTTGTTCAGGACTCATGGCATTTGGTCATTTCTGGGAGAAAGATCTTTGATCTGGGAGCCTGGAAGGAGGAAAGTGGAAATGTTTTAGGCACAGTACAGTGCTTGCAAAAGCCACATGAAAACCTTCTTTGTAGCTTTAGCCTTTTTATAGATGGACAGCTTCCTTATTTTACAAAGTTCTTCAGAAGCATGTTTTTTAGAGAACTTTTAACAATATTTGTTGACCGATATAAGACATAAAAATTAACGTGGATGGGATACAAAGAGCTTTTTTCAAGTGATGATTTATTTAAATTTAAACTTTATGGATAGTGTTTGAAACTGGAAAAAAAATCTTTTGGGGACTAGAAGATGCTTGGTTATTTAATGCAAAGAAGCTATATCAAAGGAACATTTATAGTTACAGGCTATTTGGCTTTGGGAATTGATTTTTTCCTACTGAGAAATTTTGTCTAACATCCAAAAATTTGCTTTAATTATTTAGGAAATGCAGTCAACTCCGAACTTAGAATCTAAACATAGCATAAGATAAAAACAGAGGGAAGAGATGAGATGCAGCCTAACTCCCCCCTCAATGCATATGAAAAGAACAGCTTTAGGGCTTTTTTTGACTTGCCTGATTTTCAGCCCATTTGCATACATCTGTGTAGAAATGAGCAAGACAAGCCTCTTTAAAAATTTTCTTCCATTCTCTAAATTAATAAGTTAAACAGTAGCACATTCAAGCTACCCCAGCAACCCATAGTTTTCTGCTCTTCTTAGTATGATTGGCTTCTGCAACATGAAGCGATATTCTCTCAGCGTTAGGTGTGCCATGCACATGCTATCTGCCTTAAACTTTATTGGCTGATTCCTTTCCAGCCTTACAATATTTTATGGTGTTATAGTGCCTCAGTATTGCAATGTTTTTATTCATTGTAGGATAAGAATGTTTTTGTTTCATCTAAAAATATCCCAGAACTTTACTAAACTATTTTGAGCCCTCCAAATACTGAGCCAAAATAAATCATCTTTTTGAGGTGTTGGCTCATAACGATGCACAGCAGCATCTCACAGCAGTGCCCATCAGTCAGCAGAGATATTTGTACTTGCTTCTTGGGGCAGGACAGTTGATGGATGCAGCAGATAGCTTTGTGAACTAGAATGTCTTTGGGACAGGGTCAAAGAAGCATGTGATGGTTGAACATGTTCCCTGATGTCCAGTGATTGCGGTTTGAACAAAGCCCAGATTACCAGGGACTTTTTAGCAGGGCCTGTAGTGATAGGACAAGAGGTAGTGGCTTTAAACTGAAAGAGGGTAGATTTAGATAGATTAGATATAAGGAAGAAATTCTTCACTATGAGGTTGGTGAGGCACTGGAACTGGTTGCCCAGAGAAGTTGTGGATGCCCTCTCCCTGAAAGTGTTCAAGGCCAGGTTGGATGGGGCTTTGAGCAACCTGGTCTTGTGGAAGGTGTCCCTGCCCGTGGCAGGGGGATTGGAACTAGATGATTTTTAACGTCCCTTCCAACCCAAACTGTTCTATGATTCTGGTCCCTGAAACCTCCATAGACTGTTGCAGGGCAAGGGCCTGTATTGAAAAAGAAAAACACCAAACCTCAGTTTTTCCATGTTAATATTTTTATTTCAGAAAAGGAATCTATTCGTTTTCTGTTGGTATCATTGCTTGTTCTTGATATCAAAGATGTGATAATGTGATGCCCTCTGAAGCTCCTCCTCAGCGTGAGCTTTTAAGGTTTCTGGTGCTTACAGCTGCCATTCAAGTGGATGACAGCTGAAGACACTCAGTATATTTTAAGATGGCCAAATGTTTTTGGGGGGATCACTCAAAATATCATTTGCTTTATCTGTACTAAGTGGTGTCCATAGCTCTTGTGTACAATAAAACTATTCAATAATAAAGAAGAGATTGTATTACCTATTGTCATAATAGGGAATGATAAGAGATTGTTATTCCAAATAGAATTTCTGAATAGAAATATCATGGAAATTGTTTTAATTTTTATTCTGTTCTTGGCCACGATTACAAAAGGGACAGGAGCTATGCTAATTTCTCTGGTTATCCTTATCTTTATACCAACCAAGGTAATTGACAGTTGATAAAGATGGGAAGTCAGAATTAGTCAATATTAGTATTGTCTTGCAATATGGCTGATTCAGCCAAATGCTTGTTTATCTTGCTTAGTTTCTATAACATACTCATAAAAGTTCAAGAAGTTGAGAGGCATACAGATTATTTTTTTTTATTTTTTCGTAATGCAGTTCGTCTGGGTTGCAGCTATCCCCTCCCAGGCAGAGAGGCTTTCAAACATTGTTCACTTGGTTTGTGCTTTGTATTAAACACATACGTCTCTTCCTAACCCAGTATCTTGAACGGCATAGGAGTTCAGATGGAATGGGCTGCCCGGATGATCCTATGTGTCAGCTTTCCTGCCAGTTCAAAACTCTTTTAGACTATTCTTTTAGTTCACTCTTTGTTTTGTCTTTTTAAATGTCTCACATTAGCATGTTTTTTCACTTCTTTTGATAGACAGTTTTACCACTGACTAGATCTTGCTGATAAGCAAAAGTCTTGTTTCCGAGAATCAATAAATTATTGATTTAATAAAATCAATAAATAAAAATTATTTTATTTAAATAAATAAAATTATTCCATACCTATATGCTCCTATCTGGAGGTATGTTAATATATTTCTAGTCCATGAAGGTATTGCTTAAACATGCTGTACTTGCTTCTTTTGACTGCCAGCCATGAATATTTTAACAGAAATAATGTAAGAGGTGCACCTTCAGATGTATTGATCATTTACTTGTAGCCACAACTTTTGTTGTATAATATTCTGCAGTTTAATGCTTGTATATTTTCTTGTGTTCTGTAACTTACTGCATCACACAGACTTCTGAATGATTACTGGTTGTATTTGGTTATGGCTAATGTAATCAAACAAGTATCTCTTCTTGGAGAAAAGAAAGAGTGGGACAGACCACATTATTGTTTGTCTTCACCACTTCACCAAACATAGTGAAGCTGTGATTTCAGTGACGTGAGGCCAGCTAATGAAAGCAGGTTTGACCTTATGAACTTGAAGTATGCACTGTAGATTTGAAATCAGTTGTTCTTCTTCAGACTGACTTCGGAGTTTGTCAATGTTAAAATTTAATTATTTATAATGGGATTTTCAGGGCTGCTGAAAAGGGGGTTTGTTTTGTTGTAGTAATTTTAAATGCTATTTTCTAAACAGCTTTTCAGCTCATCCATAATAAAATCATTGGCTGAAATTTTACAACTGAGAAGTAGTAATTTATGTTTGCTTACATTGAGTCTGATTAGCTTATTTATAATTAGAATTCCTTTGCTTATAATTGTTACTATGTCATCCCTTCTCCCTCTGACTGTTTCTTGTTTTCTAAACCCAGATTTAGGTCGTTCTCGGGAGCTACAATATGTTTATGTGGATAACAATATTCATCTGAAAGGCCTCCCATCTTATCTGTATAATAAAGTCATTGGTTGCAGTGGGTAGGTATGAATTAATTCAGATATCTTGCATACCTGTTCCGTGTAAAATTTCTCATAAATACCTGCCTTTATGATACAACTGATTTTGTGTGTGTGATTGATTGAGAACTGATGTTACTTTGAGGGGATTACTGCAGCTCCCAGTTCTGTTTTATTTTTGTAATAAATCTTCTGTGTTAATTGCTGATTTTCAATATTTTAGCATTAAGCCGCAAAAGACAGTGCAGTTATTCTGAAGGAATTTTTAATGATAATGTAAGGCCAAAAGCTGAATCCTAGCTGCACTTAAAGGTTAGCCGAAAATGTAGGCTTCGCAGAATTTCTAGAAGTAAAGAACGAACAAAATGTTTTTTAATGTGTTGCAGCATCTATCTAGTTCTTAACTTACAGAAATGTGAGAACTTATGGACCATATCTTGGAATGTCACAGGCAGCTCCTTCAGTCACTTTACATTCCAGTATCAGCTTCTTGTAGGTCTTGGTACCTACTAACTAAAATAAGTAACTTTTTTTAGGAATTATGGGTTGACAGGTATATTTTTACATGTGCATTTTAAAAATATCCTAGGCTGTCTCATGTTTGTGGTTAGGATGTGAGAAAAAAGTGGTCTGTCTAGGACACTAGCTTGATTCTTTCTGCACTGACACTAGCATAAATTAGGATCAGCACCACTGATGAATGGAGCCTTACTGGTGTAAAACTGATCAGAAGAGGATTGTCCCCATTACCATCTAATTATAAATTTCTGGTGTGCTCGCCCTGAGCAAATCTTGCATTAAATATAAATTCCCCCTCTACAGCCTGCACTCTACTGCAATATGTGAGACGCTGAGTCTTGGCATTTTAAGGTTTTTCTAATATTCCCGTGTCAGCTGGTTGTGTGACATTTAAATACTTGCAGTTGGATTGTAATTCTGCTGAACTGTGTGCAGTCTCAAGTTTCTACTAATTTTGTTTTTCAGGAAAAATAATTTCTAGCCTTTGTTCTTTCAGAACTGATTGTAAGACAGACTAATATTAAATTGACCCTAAAGGTAGTAGAACTGTAATGATTGTGACAAAAAACACTAGTGACAATGCAGGAAATGTTCCAACAAGTTTGGTCCAACTGTCCTGCCTATTTCAGGTGATTTGGTTTTGGTTTTTTCACATGTCTTTGTTTTTTTTAACGTTTTAAGTCCTTATTTTATACTCGGTCAAAATAATTTTATCATTGCACTGACCTTTTGTGAAGATATTACCAGTTCTTTTTGCTGTCATCACATGTAACACTGCTGGTGAGGCTGGGTGCTCGTATCTCTGATGGAGAGTATTATAAATCTACTATAGAAGAGACCAAAAAAGTTGCAAGTGTTGCAATGAAATTAATTCTTGTAATGCTTCTGTGGAATAAAAAACTGATAATTTTTTTCCTTAATAATAAAGAATTAAAAAATATTTTTAGTAGGCAAAATAATATTTGTATTTGTGTACCAAACAGATATTTGTCTTTGTTGTGAAACCATCTTGAAACATCATAGATTATTTTTAAGGAAAACTTTTCAACATAGGAAAAGCACTTGTATCTATTATTAAGAAACCAAAGGTTTTATTTGATAATGTGCTGAGTGACATTAAAATTGTGTAATAATGGTCACGTGAAGAATTTCTGTGTTCTTTCCAAGAAAGCGTTAGTAACCAATGCAAGGTTTTCATGGGTCAGGCGAGAGTTGAAGATCCAGGCTTTAGTGCTCCATCTGGTCTTCCACTGGAGAATAAAATCTGACATGCTGCTGTTACTAACATAAAGCTAGCTTTCTGAAAATAGAATATAAATTGCATTGTGTAAGTAATGAATCTCTGTCTGGGAATCCTGCAGTCAGACTGACTGAAAAAGTCTTTTATGTAAGAGGTGATGATCTCAGCACTCAAAATAAATTTCGATCTTATTTTTTGCAGATTGGATTTCATAGTCTCCAGCTAGGTATCTGTCAGTCTTGTTGAAGGCAGCCAATAGGTGGTCACAGCTTTTTTTCCCCAGTTATTTATTCACAGGGTTCTTCTGCAGCTCTATTTTTTTCCAGCTAGTTAGACCATCCTCTATTCTACTTTTTAACCTCCATGGATTTTGTGTGGGGTTTTTTTTTAATTTTTTGTTCTTGCACCCAGTATTACTCGTAGGTTGAGATTCATTCCCTAATCCATCCTAGTTTAAGGGTGTATATCTCTTAGATTATTCCTGTTGATGGTCTGTTTTGCTAGCCTCACCCTTTACATAAAGTAGACCAAAGGGCCCAGCTCTGAACTGCAGAAACTGTAGTGAGCTTATGGGCGTGTCTTCTAGCTGGGTTGGTAAGGGGTTAATCAGCTTGAAAATACAACATTATAGATTTATTTGTTGTGATAGCTAACTCGTTGGGTATGGATTGCTGGGGAATGGATTGTTGGAATACTGGATCTCTGAATTCCCAATTATATATTAACCCCATTAACGGTTTGTGGGAAATTATTAAATATTTAACAAGAGGCTTATTGACTTGCTGTTTGCTGTTCATTTGTTCTTGTTTCTCTGGGTTGTTATTCCTTTAATCAGAGGAGATGAGATTCTTTGTTATCAGAGGAGTACTATGAGATTTCTTTCACATCTGATAAGGTTGAGTGTAGTTACCTCAGTTGTAGGTCCAGTATCTGGGAAGGCTGACAAATTTGTGTTTCTGTTCCACTTGTTAGGACTGGCCCTAACAAGTTGCTCTTGGCTTCAAATTTAAGTTGTCATAAACAATTCCGATTCCCCTCTTGACTTCCCCAACCTCTTAGTAAAATTTTCCTATGCGTGTCTCTTTGGTATGATAGCTTGCAACAGGGATCATGTAAAGAGTTATTATTTTTACTACAAGCTAAGTTTCTCTCTGTGGATCCAAATAACCTTCCTTCTCTTTATATCATTTGGGAAGGACAAGGCTAGTAGACTTACTAGGGTATCCTCCCACTACAGCTTAGGCTGTTCTTTTTATTTTTCCTTCACTCACCCCCCGCCCTGCACCCTCCAAGGGAGCTCTGTGGATGGGGAAAGGTATAGTTCAGAATCACCCAGTGGCACTTAAATGATATTTTTTCATGGTTGTAGTTTGCCTCATATATTATAGTTGAGAAATCCATTACTATTCTCAACTGGTTGATCCAAGACACAGGAAGCCAACTGTTAGGTATGAAACTGCTCCCCTATGTAAAATACTTAGTAATAATGGCATTCAGAGGCTAAATGAGATTAACGTGTTGGCAAAGTAAGGGACATGTAGTGCACTTGATTCACCTTCTTGGGATTGTGTTCTCATTTCTCCAGCTTTTGAATGTTGTTTGAGAAGTAAAGACCTCCAGATGTCCCACAACTAGCACGTCACAGAAGGTGGGGATCTATAGAAAATGTGTGTCAATATGTATTGCACTCTGCAAGGAATCCTTGAAGGGTGCTGCACTGAAGAACAGTATCAGGCATACTTTGGGTTGGTCATCTGGGTTTCCCCATAAGGTTACTTTTTTCTTTTTTTTCCTAATCACTTTCTAAATGTTTTCTGTCCTTCTAGTTGTGGTTCTCCAATTCAAGTTTCAGAGGTGAAACTGCTCTCTTTTTCATCGGGCCAGTTAACTGTGTTCCTGCCAGCAGAGGTGAAATCTATAGGGACAGAAACAGATCATGTGCTGCCTTTGCAAGAACTGGCCATGAGGACCCTCTATAACACCTACTACAGGTTTTTAAAAGGTATGAAATTTCTGCATTCTTTGGATTACAGAAAGAGTGGAAGGGCTTTTCTGGCAGTGATAGGAACATTTCCAATAGCTCTTCAAAGAGCTGTGCAAGGATTAATATTTTAAAAGATTTATTTACTCAAATTATGTTTGAAATGCTGTATTAGAACAAAAATGTCCAATATCAAAAAACAGACATCCAAAGACTATTTCTAAGGTAGAGTGGTGCTTACAAATGGTTTCTTTCTTGAGGACTGCATAAAGAAGGACGCTTTTTGCAGGAGAAACTCTTTAATGGAAATAGGAGATGAGAAATACAGTTCCTGAGGCAAGATTAGATGCATCAGCCAACAATGCAACTTCTTGCCAGGCAGCACACTCCTAAACTGGCAGACTTGTTATACATAAGGCAAAAGAAACGCTAGCAGCCCTTGGCCATTTCAGTACAGCGTGACAGCTGAGCTGTTTTAGTTCTGCCCCAATTCAGACTCTTTGCTGTAAAGTGGCCCTTGGCTCATCTGGTTATGCATCATGCAGTCGCATGAGTTAGCAATATCTGATGATAACCTGCAGATTCAGATTTTGTCAGATTTAGATGTGCTGTGACTCCCCCCTATTCACAGTATCTTGGGAATTCGTTGGCTTTAGCAGTGAAAGTAGAAAGCAGAAGGGTAGAGAGTTACAATGGAAAGATCAGAGGGTTTATGATAAGGGGTCACTCGTACTATGGCCAATGGAGTAAATCATAACTGCTGAACTGTTGCTTTGCCAGGAAAAGTGTACAAGGAGGTCTGCAGCAAATATGCTGTAGGGAGGAAGCTTCATGTTGAGGGGTGGTATAACCATACAAGCCTGTGTTCATAGGAAACAGCACTGCTTTGTGGAGAGTGTATTTAATGACATAGAGAACATAATAATTGACCAGTTCGCAGTTGTGTATTTTTTATATTTCTGCATATGGAAGGCAGAGGGGAGGTTTTTAGTTGTTTAGGATCAGGATATCAGTTGCACCAAAATTATACAATGATGAACGCTGTTTCATTTTGATTTGCAAAATTCTAGTCTTTGAAAAGGAGTTTGAGAACATCAGGTACAAGATCTTTTACATCATCAGTAACTACTTTTCTCACCCAATTGACTTGCACAATAATTTCTGGAATATGGCTGTGTGAGTGTGGTTCCTGAAGATGCTGGTGAAGTTTGGTTTGGGAATAGCAAGATAGCATTGCAAAATCAGTTTAAGGAAATGGTTTGTAGATGGTTTATACAAGGCTGTGAGGATTATATTTAGTTGCAGCCAAGGTGCAGAACCTGAAAAAGATGGTGAAACTTTTTTTTTTAACTATCTTGCCTACTTCTAGTTTGTTACACTGTACTATGTAGTCTTTTTATATATTTATATATACATACACACACAAATATATATCTTATTCTGAGTGACCTTATTAAAGATGATGTGGATTACCACTGGTGACACCCACATTCCAGTGAGGCAGGGGTAATGCATAGTTCAGACAGGTGTAAGATAGTGGTGTGCTGGGGAAGCAGTATGGAACATATGATTCAAGTAGCAGATTTGATCTATTACTGCCTAAATTCGCAGTTTCAAGGGTGCTGTTAAATACTTGGTGGCTGCTAGGTAGGTATGACAGAAGCAACTGGACTACTCCTCCTCAATCTTTGCTTTGCTACAGAATGTGACCTTTTCTTTCTGACGCAAATGTACTATTCGTCATGCGTGTCATCTCAATTGAGGCTGTTGTGGTACATTGTGTATGGGGTTAAACCTTACTGCGTTTGAAAGCTGAAACTAGCGTGATATCGCAAAACTGTTTTATCAGGTACTGCATCTTGTCTTGATTACTCAGCACCTAAACTTATTTACCTGTCTTGGCTGTCTCTCAGTTTCTAGATGGAGATTAGCATGTTGGGTTTAATTTATAAAACACTACGTGGCTTGGGCCAAGCCTGAGAAAATGATTGCTCTTTCCCATGAAATGACCCTGGAGTCCTTTTTGGTGAAAATGATGTCATCTTGTAAACTGTGGGGGCACACTTAAGATACTATGAATGTATTGATCTTTTTAAAGTGGTCTTTTTGGTTGGACCTGTGAGAATTGTGCTGGGCTGGATTGTATTTCAAGTAATTCTAAATATTTCAGATCCCTTTTTGCTGGTGGTGGAGTTTGGCCTTTTTAGTGAGCTTAGCTATCCTGCTGGATTGGTTGCTGAAATATTTTAGTAAAATACTACTGATGTCCTTTTCAGAATTTTGTATTGTTATTAATTACTAAACACCTGTCTAGATCATCTTTGTGTCTAGAAATGCTTTATGATATATTACTGGTTTTTATTTGCTTGAGCTATAATATTTTCACCTGGGTATTTGGGCCCAGTTAATCTTATGCCCACAGATGCTAAACTTACACATTTAACTTCAACTTACACATGGAAAGCACTGCGTGCTTCTCCCTAATTGTGGTAACTTGTGTTACCTTGTTGTTCTTTTGACTAAGTCTTAAGAATGTGAGACAGCTGATTTTATGAATTGTTCATGGATCGTGCTTGTTGTGTTTGATTTTTATCATGCAGTTGTCTTGTAACAAGCCTTTTTTGTTTCTTTTCTTCTCTAGATTTGAACTTTCTGACTCCAATCTCACTACCCAAAAGCCTCTTGGAATTGCTGCACTGTCCCTTGGGACACTGCCACCGCTGCAGCCAGCCTATGTTTACCATTGTCTACCCAAAGATCTTTCTTGAGGGAAACACCAATGGCAGGATTGCATCAAGGGTAATAATACAGGAAATTACACTGGGGTTTCATTTAGGAAGAAAAACACCTTATGGAACGAAGCATATCCTTAAGGATTTTTTTTTTTTTTCCATTTAGCAGCCTTTCAGATCCAAAGCCCCTGTCCTATGATTGCATGTAAAAGTTGACAAATCTTTTATTTACAAGACAACCAGAATACTGCTGTTAGACTGTTTAACAAGGGCTACCACACTTGCTTGTTTCGGACTGCTGTAAGATAGTGAAGGGTTTTAATACGGTGGGATTGACTTGTTTGTGGTAGTGCAACATGTGCATGGCACTCCTGTGCCTTGGAAAGGAAATACTGCCTAACACCAATACTTCCCCTGGCAGTCTCAACCCTGACTTCAAGAGAATGCAACCACCAAATAAAAGTGCTGTAGGATTAAAGATAGAAAAAAGCTCTAAAGCCAGAGCTTAATTAAAATGTTCTGCGGTAAAATACTCTTGTTTTTCTTTCCACGCTAATTAACTTGAGATACGCTGTGGAAGCATTCTGCATTGTAACATACATTTTGTAGCAATACATCTTTTTTAAAATATTTCAGTTTCTATGGTTGTAGCAGTTGTGAATATGTCTGCAGGATTCACAAGTCAAGTAGACAAGCCTACACAGACTTCCTGACCTGCTGGACAGTACAGTCATAGAAGGGACTCAAAACTGGGATATGGTTCAGAGAATATTGCCCTCATGTAGGTAAAGATTTAAAATATTTTTAAGG